TCTATTTAGTAGGCTAGAGTCTCGTTCGTTATCGGAATTAACCAGACAAATCACTCCACCAACTAAGAACGGCCATGCACCACCACCCACTGAATCAAGAAAGAGCTCTCAATCTGTCAATCCTCTCAGTGTCCGGGCCGGGTGAGTTTTCCCGTGTTGAGTCAAATTAAGCCGCAAGCTCCACTCCTGGTGGTGCCCTTCCGTCAATTCCTTTAAGTTTCAGCTTTGCAACCATACTTCCCCCGGAACCCAAAAACTTTGGTTTCCCGGAAGCTTCCATTCGAGTCATGAAATTAGTTACTCAGAATGATCGCTGGTTGGCATCGTTTATGGTTAGAACTAGGGCGGTATCTGATCGCCTTCGAACCTCTAACTTTCGTTCTTGATTAATGAAAACATTCTTGGCAAATGCTTTCGCTGTAGTTTGTCTTGCGACGGTCCAAGAATTTCACCTCTAGCGCCGCAATACAAATGCCCCCGTCTGTCCCTCTTAATCATTACCTTGGATTCTTAAGACCAACAAAATAGAACCAAGGTCCTATTCCATTATTCCATGCAAGATCATTCAAGTTAAGGTAGTGGTACGCATCATATAGATGGTTGACCATACCGTTTTTAGGCACCTCTTTCGAGGTTTTGGACGCCTGCTTTGAGCACTCTGATTTTTTCAAGGTAAAAGTCTCGATCGCTTGAATCAACACTCGGTAAAGAGCATTGATAGCAAATATCGAGCAATTTTCTGTCTAAACACTATGAATGTAACCACCAGGAAAGAGGAATGAAGGTTCAAGCAAGCATCCGTAGACACAAGCAAGAAACCTAACATCACCATCTAACCCTTTAATCAGTGGACCCCATAGGTTCGACTGAAATCCAACTACGAGCTTTTTAACCGCAGCAACTTTAATATACGCTATTGGAGCTGGAATTACCGCGGCTGCTGGCACCAGACTTGCCCTCCAATAGATCCTCGTTAAAGGATTTAAATTGTACTCATTCCAATTACGGGGCCTCAATAGAGTCCCGTATTGTTATTTTTCGTCACTACATCCCCGTACTGGGATTGTGTAATTTGCGCGCCTGCTGCCTTCCTTAGATGTGGTAGCCGTTTCTCAGGCTCCCTCTCCGGAATCGAACCCTGCCCCTCACCATCACAGTGAGGGGACCCCTATTAGATCGTTTTGAACATTTTCCCAAGTGTTCAGCTTGTTCTCAGCTCTTGTTCTTGTACATTCGCGGTTTCCCACATCTTTTGAGTTGGCTGACTATACATCTGTACATTCGCGGTTTCCTTCATCTTTAAATGATCTAAGGACCTCACTGTGACGGCCTGCACCACCACCAACGACTCATCCCGAAGAAAAGACGTTCGCACTTTCGTCATCTACGAATATTGTCAAGTCTCTCAATTGCTTGCATTATTCAATGACTCAGTGTCTCCCATGTAGGGCCTGCACCACCACCATCTGTGTTTGATGTTTCCATCAATTCACAAGTTGCTGTCTCTCAATACAACAAATTGATACTAAATCTCAAGATCGTTACCCATTATGTTTGATGTCACCACCAACATTAATAGGATTTCTCAGAGTTAGAAACTCCAATAGTCTCACTTGCTGATTTTACCCAGCTCATGATGACCACTCTAAGTAGTGAATACTTAGATTGATCGAGTATTTGCTACTGTGAACAATCTGATACTACGTATCTTACCTCTGGGATCTGCATAAATACAGTCCCAGGAAATTCATACCGTTCACCTTATTACGTTGGGCGCATACACAACGAGCGAGCTCGTAGGCAGGGGGCCAGGGTCCCGGTCAGTTTTTCGACAGCCATTCACTACTTCATCGTCCCCCTCCACAGATTGCGCCTGCTTTGGAATCATACCTTCTGGCCATGAATGCATCCTCGGGGCGCAATCCCGATTATTCATTCATGTAACCGTCTAGTACTAAGATTGGTAGTGAGTGTTTTGCATGACTTCAGAGCCACGAAGAGTACATTTCTCGCTTAAGCGGTGGAAATGCAGAGCTTATGTGGCACTTGGCATCAAGCAGCTGATTATTCAACTGAATTTCTTTCGCTCTTTTGTTCACCAATAAATTGGTTGTTTTGCCCTTTTTACGTTGTTTTGCTAAGGTCTTCTAGCAACAACAAATAACCAATAACCTTCGTTCTAGATCATGTAAACCCTATCTGAGCACCATGTCTCAAATAGGGTATTAGTCAATCCCACTTTTGTCAAATGTGATCTCATTAAGCCACACACTGTAAGTAATCCCAATAGATCCTTTTACTCATTATCATGAACGTTGTACACCCTTCGATACCAACCGGATCGAAAGGGTTATTTCTATGGGAAGTCCACCACACTTCCCAACTCTTGTAACTGAGACCACGTCCCTAGTTCATTTGTCATACCACAGAGTGATACAAGTGAATCCCTAGGGACTCTCAAGCAATCTTTAATTTACAAAATAAAATAATTTTTGAAATC